ACCCTAATTTAGAGAACTGCCCATAAGGAACCCAACACAGGATGAGTTTAGGGTTTAGCGACCTCGGCCAGTGGTGTTGCAAATTGAGCTCTCCTAGGGTTAAACATCCGTGACCCTTGCCAGACAGGGTCCTCGAAACACGTGCAGGCACACAAACACACAGGCATTGTAGCGGCCTTTACTAATTAGAATAGGGTTTTGGGGCCCACTATACTATAATTATAATAAGGAACCCCCCAAATAGTATAGGCAATTATTTAGGCCCATACATCACACACGCATCACCCGCACACACAGATCTAGGGAGAGAGAGAGAGAGAGAGAGAGAAAAAAAAAAGTGGAAGGCCGGGGCTGTTTCGTAAGTTCCGAACCCTTGTGTCAAATCTGGGTAGGATCTCAGAGCTTCAGCCTAGGGAAGCACTGATACACGGACGTCCAAAACTCTTGCGGTTTACGCTTTGGTTGCGACTCTTTTCACGGTTTAGGCTCAGGGTTTAAGGCGGGGTTCAGGGCTTGGGATGAGGCCTGAGGGTACCCAAACCCCCCAGGTACCTACTAAGAAAGGGCCCTAGGGGCTCTAGTACCCTATATTGTAGGTACCTGGGAGGTTGAGGGCTTAAGTGCCAAGCAAGGAGCTCACTGCGCGGGACTTGCGCGGTCGCTTAGAGCTGCTACAGCATCTGCAACACCAAGAGCAGATGCCTCGGATGGTCGGGTTTTCCGATAGCCTTGACCTACCAAAACCTAGGGTCCCTATAAATTCCATACTAGGGTTTATAATAGGAACTACAAAGCAGTAATGTTTGGTAGTTTAAGGAAGGTCACCAAAAGGGCTACGACAGGGTTACCAGAGTTCCTATACCTGTTCCATGAGGGTTTATTGCTCAGGGCTTGTAGGAGGTTCACGGGACCGAAGCCCCAAGCACGTTTAGGGTTTATAGGGTTTAGGGTTTAGGGTTTAGGGTGAAACTTTTCACATCATGAAAAGATGCTGCTCAATCTACAAGCCCCGTTGTCCCCGACCTAGCCGCAAAATCTGACTCAACTCGGAACCTTACTGCCCATAGACGTAAAGGTGGAGATTTAGCAGTCTGGGGACTTATGATTGTGACTGTTGAGGTGTTTGGGGATTTAGGGGTTCGGCGGTTTAGGGACTTCGGCTTCAGTTTCGTGCTTGAGGCTTGGGGTTCAATCTCTAGGGATTGAGGGTTCGCTTTTTCCAATAGTCTACTGTAGGGCATTTGACATATTGCAGAGGGTTGCCTGAACGACTAAACCCTAAACCCCTTTCTCCTTCATGGTCTCCTCCGAAGGCTTGGCACCCCCACCTAAATTACCTGAAGACATGGATCCAGAACCCTGGTGAACGAAATCCTCTTTCTACTATCCCAAAGGAGTCAAGGGACTCTTATTCATGATATCTGACTATCATGCTCACTAGTCGGATTCTTTTGCTAACAATCTGGAAGGACCTCGGGCACAATCCGTACCGGCGAGTCCATGGTTGGTCACACAGGAAGCTTGTGTAGTACATTTCCTCCAGTCTTGTAAACCATAGCCATAGAGGCAGTTGGTACGGTATACATATCATCGTAGGATCAGGGTCGAGGCTCCCCTAAAGGGCATTTGCTTTCTGGGAACCATGAAACACACTACCATCCTGCGGGTTTAGGGTTGAGGCTTTCTTAGCTTCACCAACAGCTTCTTGCGTTTCGGCCCTTTCAGCGAGCTCGCAAGCCAAGCATGTGAGAATTCCATGAGACTGGTGCGGTAGTCACAAAGTCTCACCGAAGATGAACCATCCAATTAAATGCGCCAGCAAAAGGCTCATTCTTAAAAAGATCCTTGCAGACACTGTTGCCAGGACGGCCCAGACTATGATCAGTGCGCGAATCACTCGATGCAGCATGCAGCAAAAACCGTAAGAACCCTCAACCCCGAGCAGATGTTCCGATCCTGGAAACGATAGTTTCTTGTTTGAAACAGTGGCCGCATCGAAGACTCACGCATTTCTGGGACCCTGCTTTCAACAACGGGTGTTGAGCCGGTCCGAAAGACAGCCAGGAAGCCTTAAAGAGGCAAGTTGTAAAAGGACCATCCAGGTTTGCTCCATCAAGTCCAAGCTCCCGGACTTTTGTGGGTTTTAATCCGAATGATTGGCTGCCTGTAGCCATTGTAGCCGACACAACATGTCTTCCGAGCATGCGCAAGATGGTCTCGGCCGTCTCTTCCTACTTTGAAAAGATCCAGCCCTGCACAACCACTGCAGCGGCTAGTCCTAAAAGGAGGCTCATTCAATGCAGCCAAATATAAGTACCAATATTGGTACTACGGTTATCGCCTCTTGTCGCATCAGAAAATTGATTCCGCAGCTGTGACTGATAGCAATCCCGCTGCCATTGATGGTGCGGGCAATCTCGGTGTTGTGTTCCTACGTCCGTGTATGGTTCCGCTAATGCATGGAAAGTATTGCTGCTGCTGCTAGTAGTTGCACTGGACTACAAGCTTACAGCGGTTGGTTGCTAGTTCGGCCGGACAGAAACCTCCTAGCAGTACAAATGCTACGACTACTGCGACTACTATAACAACGACGGGGACGACGAATCCTACTACTGTTACTACTGCTGCTGCTACTGCTACTACGACTACTGCAACTACTACGACTACTACTGCCATTATTATTATTACTACTACTACTGCTACTGCTACTGCTACTGCTACTACCACCACCGCCGCCACCACCACCACCACCACCACCACCACCACCACCACCACCACCACCACAACAACAACAACAACAACAACAACTGCAACAACAACTGCAACAACAGCAACAACAACAACAACAGCAGCAGCAGCAACGCGAGCAGCTCCAGCAGCAGCAGCAGCAGCAGCCGCGGCGGCGGCTCCAGTAGCACCAGC